GAACCTCACTTGTGTCTCTCTTTTCTCAGAACCTCCTCAGGTGACGCTTTCTCTAATCAAAGATCCAGTCCCCACCCTGATCTGCCGCACTGATCGCTACTATCCTCTAGATGTGGAAGTGGACTGGCTGCTGAATGGGGTGCCGCTGACAGACGTTACCCCGGTCACCTCCAGCCATCGCAAGAACAGCGATGGGACATACAGTCTGAGCAACCAGCTGCAGGTGTCCATCCCTCCATCCGGAGCCCCTCCTGACAAATACAGTTGTGTTGTGTCACATGTATCCATTGAGGAACCCATCCAGGTCGAGATCACCGTCTCTCCACCAGGTACCTTCATCGTGTTCTTTATCCAAATGTCTGTTAGGAGGGATATACAGTCGGGTCCATAAATATTGGGACATCAACACAATTCTAACATTTTTGGCTCTACACACCACCACAATGGATTTGAAATGAAACGAACAAGATGTGCTTTAACTGCAGACTGTCAGCTTTAATTTGAGGGTATTTACATCCAAATCAGGTGAACGGTGTAGGAATTACAACAGTTTGCATATGTGCCTCCCACTTCTTAAGGGACCAAAAGTAATGGGACAATTGGCTTCTCAGCTGTTCCATGGCCAGGTGTGTGTTATTCCCTCATTATCCCAATTACAATGAGCAAATAAAAGGTCCAGAGTTCATTTCAAGCGTGCTATTTGTATTTGGAATCTGTTGCTGTCAACTCTCAAGATGAGATCCAAAGAGCTGTCACTATCAGTGAAGCAAGCCTTTATTATGCTGAAAAAACAAAACAAACCCATCAGAGAGATAGCAAAAACATTAGGTGTGGCCAAAACAACTGTTTGGAACATTCTTAAAAAGAAGGAACGCACCGGTGAGCTCAGCAACACCAAAAGACCCGGAAGACCACGGAAAACAAATTGTGGTGGATGACCGAAGAATTCTTTCCCTGGTGAAGAAAACACCCTTCACAACAGTTGGCCAGATCAAGAACACTCTCCAGGAGGTAGGTGTATGTGTGTCAAAGTCACCAATCAAGAGAAGACTTCACCAGAGTGAATAAAGAGGGTTCACCACAAGATGTAAACCATTGGTGAGCCTCAAAAACAGGAAGGCCAGATTAGAGTTTGCCAAACGACATGTAAAAAAGCCTTCACAGTTCTGGAACAACATCCTATGGACAGATGAGACCAAGATCAACTTGTACCAGAGTGATGGGAAGAGAAGAGTATGGAGAAGGAAAGGAACTGCTCATGATCCTAAGCATACCACCTCATCAGTGAATCATGGTGGTGGTAGTGTCATGGCGTGGGCATGTATGGCTGCCAATGGAACTGCTTCTCTTGTATTTATTGATGATGTGACTGCTGACAGAAGCAGCCGGATGAATTCTGAAGTGTTTCGGGAATATTATCTGCTCATATTCAGCCAAATGCTTCACAACTCATTGGACGCTTCACAGTGCAGATGGACAATGACCCAAAGCAGACTGCAAAAGCAACCAAAGAGTTTTTTAAGGGAAAGAAGTGGAATGTTATGCAATGGCCAAGTCCATCACCTGACCTGAATCCGATTGAGCATTTCACTTGCTGAAGACAAAACTGAAGGGAAAATGCCCCAAGAACAAGCAGGAACTGAAGACAGTTGCAGTAGAGGCCTGGCAGAGCATCACCAGGGATGAAACCCAGCGTCTGGTGATGTCTATGCATTCCACACTTCAGGCTGTCATTGACTGCAAAGGATTTGCAACCAAGTATTAAAAAGTGAAAGTTTGATTTTTATGATAATTATTCTGTCCCATTACTTTTGGTCCCTTAAGAAGTGGGAGGCACATATGCAAACTGTTGTAATTCCTACACCGTTCACCTGATTTGGATGTAAATACCCTCAAATTAAAGCTGACAGTCTGCAGTTAAAGCACATCTTGTTCGTTTCATTTCAAATCCATTGTGGTGGTGTATAGAGCCAAAAAATTTAAAAATTGTGTCGATGTCCCAATATTTATGGACCTGACTGTAGATAATATGATTTGGCCAGGACTTAAATGCACCCTGCCACCTTGCATGCCATAGTCCTCTCCTTTCTGGGAGTGTCTAATTATGGTCTGTGCTGGTCCAGCTCCTCCACCCATCCCCTTTATACATATGTGTACATTTATTTAGCTGCTAGGGCAGTAGTGGTTGGAAATACTATAGTGTCACTTGAGTGACAGTTGAGTCTGGTTGGGCTGCTGACATTAAATTCAAAATAGCAGCACTATCAGGGCTTTTGTACAAATACAACATACACAAAGTACATCGAATGCACATGTAATCTTATAGAAAGATTGTTGTTGAATGGTCTGGTGACACGGTCTCTTTAAAGTGACCCTATCATGAAGTTTTCCAAACAAATACCCCGCAAAAGAAGGCCATAAATACTTGCTTTCCTGCTGCCCTTGCCATCAAACACTCCTCCAAAGGCCTCCATAGTTTGCTGGGAAACTGACATTTCTGGGGATGTTGATATCCAGTATCTCCTAATATGCTCCGAGATTCCTCCAGACGACCGCATCAATAAAGGACACAGTGGATTTTGGTAGGACCAGGGCCACCATTGGAAATCATGAGGCCCTGTACAGTCTATCTGACAGGTAGCACCAGAACAAGGTCATCTAGTGCCCAGGGCTAAGATGCCAAACAGCACCTCTCTCCCAAAAAGGTATGAGAATTGTGTGCCAACAAAAATCCCCTCCCTCATCCCCCAAAATTGGAGCGCTAATCTTCACACTTACCCCCTAATCATAAATTGCCTTTGCAAGACAAAATTCTCCCCAAGCAAAAATTCCCCCTTTTCCCCAAATTCCTTATCCTAGCACAAATCCACTGCCCCTCAGATTTCCCCTCTGAGCATAAATCCCTCTCTCCCTGCACAAATTATCTCTCCTAGCAGTAAACCTCACCTCCTCAAATTTCCCTTCCTAGCACAAATCTCCCCAATCATCCCTAGTAGTACAACCCCCCCCCCCCCCCAAATCCTCCTTTTTAACAGAAATTCACCCTCCTAGTACAAATTCCCCCTCCAAATCACCTTTTCTAGCACAATTCCCAAATCCCCACTGCACCCAGGGCAGCCACCCCTGTTGTCCACCCCTTGTCCCGGCCCTACTGGCAGGCATCCCACCCAGTTATATGGTCCTGAGAATCAATTCACCTTACTTCATTGAACATAGCAGGCATAGAGTTAGCAGCAACATTCCATACAGATAACGGTGTGAACCCCCTTGTCAGATATTCCTTCTTGGTCAGCTCTCAGTAGCCCATGGTGCTCCTGATCCACCTCCTTATTGCCCGTCATCAGTAGGGCGGCAACAGGATTGCCACTCCAAACCCTTCATCTGCATGAAAATGTAACCTCCTTCCAAGCTTAACCCAGCTGCTCTGCTGTCCTGATGAGGCCTGGGGTCCAGTAGCCTTTTCCCTCTATCGGCAGCCCTAGGAAGAACCACTATGTGCAGCAAGGGTACTGGAGATCAACACTCCATTGGACTTCAAGGGACCATTCCTATTGAATGGAGCAGCGTTTGGTGGCATAGACAGGGTCGCTTTATAAGAAACCTCTACCAAAGAAGCATAAAGGCTGCCATGGTTGATCGTCACTTCTTTAAATGCCTGTATTCTGTTTTAAAGAAAAAGTCCAACACAGAAAACATCCATTCTGTTGATTAATAACTAATAATGAATACCTTTCTTCCTCTGCACAGAACCTGCGCTGCTATTCCAGATCATTGGCTATACTTCCTCATTCATCTTATTGGCCGTTATCCTCAAAGCCATCTATATGTTTGCAAGGACAGTTCCTCATGGGGTGGGGAAGGAAAAAAAATTATCTTGACTTTCGTCCTGTGCTGAACAGAAGGACTACATGGAGTTTACAGAAATGTTCTATTGGTAACGATTAGATGTCACATGCATGATTGGTTTTGCATGGGGAGACAGTCTGGAGGATGTAAATGATCTTTCAAATTTTTATCTTTTGTAAGGTGTAGAACCCAATAACAGGGGCGCTATTAGGATGTTGGTAAGGGGTGATCATTTTAGGACCAAGTAACATTGTCACCTATGTGAGCTATATGAAAGGTATGTCACTGGCTCCATGTGAGAACACTAGGCCTATCAAACCAGAAGCACTGGGCCAGCCCATCCGAAGCACTGAGCCAATCCAACAGAAGCACTGAGCCAATCCAACCAGAAGCACTGGGCCAGCCCATCCAAAGCTCTGAGCCAATCCAACAGAAGCACTGAGCCAATGCAACCAGTAGCACTGCGCCAATCCAACCGAAATACTGGGCCAATCAAACTGGAAGTCGATTTCCCCGTGTAAGCTATGAATCCACCAATTCGCAGCTTACACAAGGCTTTCCTTTTACTTCCGAGGACTAGAGCTGTGGGGGAGCATAAAGGAAGGTATGTAATGCATCTTTTGGCGTCAGCATTAAAGCCAACATGTTGCTTTGCCTTGCATGCCTTGCCTTGTTTTCTTCCCGTTTCAAGTTTATGTAATGCCTACATACACATACTGCATATGGTGCTTTTACAGAGAGTCATGGATTGGTCACGCCTTAGGACTCATGCACATGGATGTTTGCAGGCACAACCTTTCTCAAACGTTTTAACACAGAGAAACCCTTGAAACAATTTTCCAGGCTCAGACAACCCCTACTAATACTTACTATAGCTACAAGTCAATGCATATTAGTTTGATGGTTGCTGGGAATAATGCTCCTTACATTTTTGGCCATTGAAAAAGGTGTCCCTTACATAGGTGGTCTTTGGGAGAAGTGCTCCTTACATTAGTGGTCAGTGAGAAGAATGTCCCTTACATTGGTGATCAGTGAGAAGAATGCCCTTACATTGGTGATCAGTGAGAAGAATGTCCCTTACATAGGTGATCCGTGAGAAGAATGCCCCTTACATTGGTGTCAGTGGAAAGAATGTCCCTTACATTGGTGGTCAGTGGGAAGAATGCCCGTTACATTGGTGGTCAGTGAGAAGAATGGCCCTTATATTGGAGGTCAGTGAGAAGAATGTCCCTTACATTGAGGGTCAGTGGGAAGAATGTCCCTTACATTGGTGATCAGTGGGAAGAATGTCCCTTACATTGGTGATCAGTGAGAAGAATGTCCCTTACATTGGGGGTCAGTGGGAAGAATGTCCCTTACATTGGGGTCAGTGGGAAGAATGTCCCTTACATTGGTGGTCAGTGAGAAGAATGCCCGTTACATTGGGGGTCAGTGGGAAGAATGTCCCTTACATTGGTGGTCAGTGAGAAGAATGCGCGTTATATGAGAAGGTGGTGGTCATTGGGAAGAATGTCCCTTACATTGGTGGTCAGTGGGAAGAATGCTCCTTACATTGGTGGTTAGTGGGAAGAATGTCCCTTACATCGGAGGTCAGTGGGAAGAATGCCCCTTACATTGGTGGTCAGTGGGAAGAATTCCCCTTACATTGGTGATCAGTGGGAAGAATGTCCCTTACATTGGGGGTCAGTGGGAGGAATGTCCCTTACATTGGTGGTCAGTGGGAAGAATTCCCCTTATATTGGTGGTCAGTGGGAAAAATTCCCCTTACCTTGGTGGTTAATAGGAAGAATGCCCCTAACATTTGTAGAAGGATCACCTCTTACAGTTCTCTAAAAAGATCATTGTTTTCAGTGGTTACTCATCTAAAAGGCAAAAGTTGCTCTTAGGCCTGGTTCACACCAATGCATTGTGCTTTTTGTCCGTTTTGCAGTGCATTTTGCATGCCTGTTTTTGCCGCATTTTTACCACATTTTGCATTTTTTTCAGGGGTTTTTTTTTTGGTTAAAGTGGGAAATTTTTTATTGCTGGCCAGAATAAAATGTAAAATGCGGCAAAAACACAACAGAAACACGGCAAAACGCACTACATGCATTTCAGCAGCTTCTCTATTGAACTCTATTGTAGCAAAAAGCTGCTTCTTGCGTTTAAAAAAGTCCCTGACCTTTTTCCAAAAATGCAGCAGCAAGCATACAGTAGATGTGAACATGTCCCATAGGAAACCATGGTAAATGGACTGTATTGCGTTTCTGCAAAAAGCACTAGAAATTGCATTGGTGTGATCCAAGCTTTAGAGTAAAATGCCAGCCTGGGGAGCCACAGGGGTCAATTATGAGCTTGTACTCATCTAAATGCTCATGCTCTTTTGCAGGGATATTTACCTGCATCTTCTTCATTTTAGAAATACGTCATGGGCTGATCCATAAAAAAGCATCAACAGTTACCTGAGTACAAGTGCATGCAGCATTCACTTCTATGGCCGGCTGTACCAGGTGTGGGAAAACGTTGAGAATTTAACAGTAGAGGACATTGGTGCCTGCAAACGTCCATGTGCATGTGTCCTTGTACTCTATTGTCCCTATTCTAATGTCATAAAGACGCAATCAGTGCTCTCCAACACGTATGCATATGCAGGTTTAGCTAGTAGTAGCCAGTTACATTCAAAACTGGACTTGTTCTTTAATGTTTCGCTTCCTATCCAGTAGCTTCCTCAGCTCTTCTGAGTGCCAGGGGTATATCCCGGAATTTACAGCCTGTCCTGATGATATGTTCCCAACAATCAACTGAGGAAGGTGTTTGGATGGGTGGAAAAAGTCTTCAATACTACAGTCCACTTGAATGTGACTTATTACCACTAGCTATACCATGACCTGGATAAATGAGATCCCTCATGGACATATGGAGGAACGAACTTTTTAAGGGGTGTTACTGCATGTATTATGTGTTGTATGTATTTAATTTAATTTTATTTTGTACATTCATGAGGGAAATCTACATTTTTGGAATGCATTTACAAATATATGTAAAAATATATGTTAAAATTACTTTTTTATATGTTACCAAAAAAATCGGAAGAATATATTTTAAAAATATATATTTTAAAAAATATGGTTGTATTTAAATATATTCTTCAGATTTTTTTTTAACATATAAAAAAGTAATTTTAACATATATTTTTAAATATATTTGTAAATGCATATATATACATATATTTTGAAATATTGAAACACTGTGTGCTTTTTACTGTATATGGCAGGACTAACCATGTCTGAGCTGCTTCAAACTTCTGACTCTGTGCAGGATAAGTGCCTCCAAATGTTATTTTTCATGTTGTTATCCTAAAGATTGATGGACGTTTTTAACTATTTTGATTGTACAAATCTTTTGTTCAATAAAGTTGTGACAATATGAAAAGTTGTATATGTTTTTGTTTGGACCGAGCATCTGATATATTTTTTCATATTACACATGTATGGTTAATAACGTGTAGCATAGATGATTATTACATCTGACAGAGATCATAGTACTTGCCCTGTACCACAATACAGTGTGTGCATGCACGTGCTTTAGCACTCAAACCATAGGCCTAGAATCGTATTCAGCCAGGAGCTCACATGCTGCAGTCACTGAGTGGCCTGCATGCTTAAAGATATTACACCCAATCCCAGTTTTGGCACCAGAAGGCCTATTTACATATCAAAACTGTTTTAGAAAATTGCTAGATGGTCTACAACTACTTACCCTGTGACCTGAGTACCCAATCCTGTTGTGTTTACTAGTTGTAGACCAGGCTTGTTTCCTGACCATGGCTTTCTCTTTTTTACCATTTTCTGACCTTGTTTGTCTTCGTCCTCTCTACCACTTGCTGATCCAGCTTTTGTCCTGACCATTTTTTTTTCTTTTTTATCTGATGTTGACCTGGCTTGTCTCATGACCATGGCTTGTACCTCTGTACCATTTGCTGATCTAGCTTGTCTCCGGACCATGGCTTGTCTCTATCTACCACTTGCTGAACTGGCTTGTCTCCAGACCATGGCTTGTTCCTATCTAACATTCACTATATAAACTGAGAAATGTTTGAAGATTTTGCTTTCCTTTGAATGACTTCATGAATATTTGGTTGTAGTCGCACTGTTTCTGAGAACTGCTGTACATCTGTGTTGCATGGAGTCCCCCAACTTCTGGCCCCTGTGATCAGGTATTCCAGCCCAGGATGATTGGACCACATTCCACAGTTCTTCTCTATTTCTTGGTTTTGCCTCAGAAACTGCATTTTTGATGTCACCCCACAAGTTTTCTATTGGATGAAGATCCGGGGATTGGGCTGGCCACTCCATAACGTCCAGCTTGTTGGTCTGGAACCAAGATGTTACTGGTGTGTTTGGGGTCGTTGTCTTGTTGGAACCCCATTTCAAGGGCATTTCCTCTTCAGCATAAGGCAGCATGACCTCTTCAAGTATTCTGATGTATTCAAACTGATCCATGATCCCTGGTATGCGATAAATAGGCCCAACACATAGTATAGTATGAGAAACATCCCCATATCATGATGCTTGCACCACCATGCTTCACGGTCTTCACAGTGTACTGTAGCTTGAATTCAGTGTTTGGGGGTCGTCTGACAAACTGTCTTCGACCACTAGACCCAAAAAGAACAATCTTACTTTCATCAGTCCACAAAATGTTGCGCCATTTCTCTTTAGGCCAGTCAATGTGCTCTTTGGCAGATTGTAACCTCTTCAGCGCATCTTTTTTCCAACAGTGGGACTTTGCGGGGACTTTGTTGCAGATAGCTTGGCTTCACATAGGCGTCTTCTAATTGTGACAGTCCTCATAGGGAACGTCACACCTTCTTTCATCTTCCTGGAGCTGATTGTTGGCTGAGTCTGCACCATTTTGGCTATTCTTCTATCCATTCCAATGGTAGTTTTTCGCTTTCTTCCACGTCTTTCAGGTTTTGGTTGCCATTTTAAAGCATTTGCGATAATTTTAGCTGAGCAGCCGATCATTTTCTGCACTTCTTTATATGTTTTCCCCTCTCCAATTAACTTTTTAATCAAGGTACGCTGTTCTTATGAACAATGTCTGGAATGACCCATTTTCCTCAGGATTTCAGAGAGAAATGCACTGTAACCAGCATGTCCAACATTTGCTGCCTTCCTTCCTTAAATAAGGGCAATAATTGCCACCTGTTTTTCAAAGAATGAATGACCTCACTAATAGAACTCCACACTGCTATTATTTTGAACACGCCCCTTTCAATGCGTGATTCAATGACACAGAATCAGCAGCATGCATGTCATGACTGTTGGGTCTGTTGGATTTCTATTACTCTACTACACCTGCTAGGAAATTATTCGCCATGTAGAAATATAATTTCTACCAAAAACAGTGATTGATCCGGTTAGTGATGTCTGATTGCTATTATACAACTGTATATTTTTGCACCTCCCTAAGTGCAAAAATACTCAAAAATTCATATAACTTAGAAATTGCGTGAAAGTGCTAATACTATCAAAGTGCAAGTGCATAAATTACATAGAATCATATCCCCACTTCATTGGAAAAAGCTGGTAAAGGATTGTAGTTTAATTTCTGATATGCATTGTAATAAGAGAGCAGCCTGTTGGCCTCTTTTATATAATCTGTTCTATTTTTGGATGATGATGCCACCACCCTTATCTGCAGACTTGATAACAATATCTGAATTGTTGGTACGCTTTTGGTGGGCCTTTTTTTCACATTGTGTAAGGTTAGACAATTTTTGGGAGATGTGTGATTCAGAATTACACATACGAATGAAATCAGCATCAACCACCTGATAAAAAGTTTGAACATAAGGTCCTTTATTATGAGTGGGGTTAAAGATAGACCTTGGTCTCAAAGTGGTGTGCTGGATGGGATGAGAAGTGGGGAGATGTTGTGTGAGCCACTTGACATCATCACTATAATTTTGCATATATACATTTTCTAAACAAGTTATGATAGGAAACTCTGAGTCATCAAAGGTTATGGTCTGTTTATCTGATTGAGTGACAAGATGGTGAATTTTTAGCCGATTTAATATTATAAAATCTCTTAACTGTAAGGTCTCAAACAAACTTGTTTAAATCTTTAAACAATGTAAATGGGTTAGGCAGAACCATGGGAGCAAAGGTTAAGCCTTTACTCAATAAGGAGATATCATGAGCAGAGAGTTCTAGAGTGGACAGGTTGTAAATCTTAAGTTTCCTCATTTTCCCTTTTCTTATATCTGTCCCTTCCCCTCCTATGTGTTTTGTTTTTGTGAGGTTTGGTGGGGTGCACATCACTAAAAAAAAAGTCTCAGAATTATTGGGGGATGTGGTACCAGAGTCTCGGGTAGGGTGAACATCTTTAGGGATAGAACTGGTCATCAGGTTGGATGGGGTATCTACATCCCGAGTAGTCACAGATAATACTATACCTACGTCACCCAAGGCCAGTGTGGATGTAGTTTGGCCTTCTGGGTGTGAAATGGTGGATGGTGTGGTAGTAACTATCCCCTGGGAACTATTGGGGAAATTCTTAGACTCTGCGATCCATTGTAAAGTGGTATATGAGTATCACATTTAACTGATATGCTATTGTCACTGTGGATATTAGTACTGGGGGAAAATTGGTTCTACTCTTTCTGTTCCGCTTCGGCAAAGGAGGGAGGTTGGGAGGTGGTCTATTATTAGATGTACTGGAAGTGGATGGATTGTTTAATATTTTTTTTTGGGGGTATCGGGGAGCGTTGTCCTAAGTGGACAACAAGACATAAGTGGTATGGGTGGGCCCTGAGGGCCT